TTCAGTGCTGGTAGCTCTTTTTCCTTTTTTTTTCTTTTTTTTTGGAGAGGTTTTGTTATAGGGCGCGTGTGCTTGCCAGAAAGACAGAGAGAGACAGACAGCCAGAAAGTGAGAAATCACCCCCCAGGGGGGATGGCCACGCTGCAATCCCTTCTCCTCCATTCTCCTCTCAGGATCTTGGGCACGCACACACATGTGCCCGGTGTGAGTTTTAAGCCACCGGGTCTGGGACTCGAACCGCAGTCGGCTACATGGGAGTCCAGCGACATAGCCATTACACTAGCTACTGGTCCCAGTGCTGGCAACTCTTAAATTTTTATTTTGTGTGTGTCAAAAGCAATTTGGACACAGTCTATTGAGTTAAGGAGGGATTAGTGGAGTGGGAGGAGGTGGCAGAGGTAATACTCTCTTTTAGCAGAAGCTGACCTGCGATTTTAAAGAAAACATGCTTGCATCCTGGGACCTCCCTGAGTACACGATGATCCAGGCTGCTTGAGACTAGGGTGGATTGTGGCGTCAAGAAGGGGCTGCCTGTCTTTCTGACAGCTACCTCTTTCCAATAGAAGGAATAATTTTTAAAAAGTAAAGAAAAAGAGCAGCCTAAAAGTTGGGACCTGCTAGTTTTCCTTTTTATTTTTTGAAGAATTATTTATTGGGGCCTATAGAAGGCATAGTGATTATGTTGCTGGATTCTCACATGGCCAACTATGGTTTGAGTCCTGGACCTAGTGGTTAAAAATCATGCCAGGTGTGTGTACATGTGTGTGCATGTCTAAGGTCCCAGTAGGAAAATGGAGGAGAAGGGATTGCAGTGTGGCATCCCCCCTGGGGGTGATTTCTCACTTTTCTTCTCACTGTCTCTATCTCTGGTGGCAGAAACCTCTAAAAAAAGATAATTATTTAATTTTATCTGTTATTTAAAAAAAATAATAGTTATTTTAAAAATTTATTCATTCCTGGGAACCAGCAGTTAGCGTAATGGCTATGTCTTTGTACTCCCACGTAGTCAACCGCGGTTCACGTCCCGGACCCGGTGGCTTAAAACTCACGCTGGGCGCGTGTGCATGCGTGCCCAAGATCCCGAGAGGAGAATGGAGGGGGAGGGATCGGGACCATCTCCCCTGGGGGGTGATTTCTCGCTTTCTGTCTCTCTGTCTCTGTCTGTCTGGCGAGTGCTCGCGCCCTATAGCGAAAAAAAAATTTATTCATTCATTTATTTTAATTTGACCAGAGAAAGACAGACACAGAGAGGAGGAAAGTGAGAAAGCAAGCCATATTGGCTTTCTTCTGAAGCAAAAAAAATTTTTTTGGATAAGTTTTCTTTTGCTATAAGGTGCGTGTGCTCACGAGACAGGCAGAGAGACAGAAAGCAAGAAATCACCCCCCAGTGGGGATGGCCATGCCTCAATCCCTTCTCCTCCGTTCTCCTCTTGGGATCATGGGCATTATGCACACACGTGTCACGTGAGTTTAAGCCACCTGGTACGAGACTCAAACTGCAGTCGACTATATGGGAGTCCAGCGACATAACCATTATGCCAACTGCTCGTTCTGTGAGCTGTTTTATTTCTGTCAGGGAGTGTAATCAATTGCTTAGAGAACCAAGAGGGAGCCGTTGTTCCAACCACAGAGCTTTGCAGACTGAGGTGGTCTGATTCAGAAAGCAATGTCCAAGAAGAAGTCCTTTCTACGAGAGTCATGCCACACTCTCTCAGGCTGATGTCCTTGTCTCTAACATTGGAAGATAAACCCATCTTGTAGGGCTTAATGTGACTTGAGATCATGCATATACATATACAGTACCTTGCCCATCTTAATTAAGAAACTGAAGCAGTGTAACAGTAAACATGGTAACAGTTATCCTGTCTAGCCTAAGATGGATCTGGTTGCCTCACCTGTATGGGATATTCCGGACATAAAGTGTCTTGGTTGATTGAAGCAGCCTCAGTTCCTTGGAGTACAATGGCCCTTTTCTCTTAGCCTCATTCAGCTAGATACTAACAGGAGCCATCCTTCGCTGTCCTCAGCAACACTCCTCATTGCAGGATCCCTTTTCTCTTTCGGAAATTTTGTTGTTTTCTCCTTTTTAAAAAATTGACTTCATTGGGGATTGGGACCAGCCTTGGCTACGTCGCTGGACTCCCTTGTAGTCGACTGCGGTTCGTGTCCCGAACCCGGTGGCTTAAAACTCACGCCGGGTGTGTGTGCGTGCGTGCCCAAGATCCCAAGAGGAGAATGGAGGAGAAGGGATTAAAGTGTGGCCATCCCCCCTGGGGGGTGATTTCTCACTTTCTGTCTCTCTGTCTCTCTCTGTCTTCCTGGCAAGTGCATGTGCCCTATAGCAAAAACCTCTCTAAAAAAAAAATTGACTTTATTGGGGCTGACAGGTGGCATGGTGGTTGGGGTGCTGGACTCCCATATGGGTGACGATGGTTTGAGTCCAGATTGGTGGCTGCTTTATCACTTTTCCTCTCTCTCTGGTCAAATGAAATAAAATAATAATGATAATAAATAAAAATTAAATAATTACTTAATTTAAAAATATACTTTATTTAAAAGAATTATTTTATTTAACTTTATTTATTTATTTATTTTAATTTGACCTGAGAAGGTCAGAGAGAGAGAAAGTGAGAAAGCGAGCCACCAGTTTTCGGATTTGAACCTCAGTTGGCCATCTAGGAGTCCAGCGCCCTTAACCACCATGCCACCTGCTGGCCCCTACTTAATTTTGTTTTTAAGTTTTATTTTGATATTTTTTCATAACGGGGGTGTGGAAGGGGAGAGAGACGGTCACCTCCAACAGGGTATTCACGCTGCAGTTCAACCCCCAGACTCAGCCAGCCAGGATCACAGGCACCGGCACTCCAGTCATGCACAGGGGCCCTCAGGATGCACACCTGGGAGCTTCCCTGTAGCTTCCGCACCGTGGACTGTGGTCGTTACACGGTGCCACTACAGCTGACCTGGAAATTGTCTTCAGGTGAGCAGTTCCCAAAGCATTTTCTTCAGAACGCTAATCTACCGGACATTAAAAGCTGTTTCTGGAAAATTATTTTCGTTATTTCATGTTCAGATAAATTGAGAAAATGCTGAATTAAACAAGGCTAGGTAGGCTTTGTCGCCGCGGGCTATCTTAGAGTGTTTAGCTGAAATACTGTGACTTGTGAATGCCGTATATACAACTACCCAAACTTAGCCAACTTCGGAAATTCCTTTCAGAATATCTTGCGTGACTAGTTTTTCAGGGATTATTTAAACAAATACTGTTTTACTTTAAGCAAACAGAAGGAATATTAAAAAAAAACTTGAAAAAATGGTCTCAAATTTGCTACAGATAGAATATAGAATACAAAAAACATCTGTATGAATAATTCTAGAAACTAAAAATTAACTAATTAGTGGTTTTTTAAAAGAATTATTTTATTTAACTTTATTCATTTATTTTAATTTGACCAGAGAGGGACAGAGAAGTGGGGGGAGTAACAAAGCAAGCCGCCAGGTCTGGGACTCCAACTATGGTCAGCCGTAGTGGGAGTCCAGCACCCTTAACCGCTACTCCACCTGCTGGCTCCAGATTAGAGTTTTAAAGCCTAAAGTTGAATTCGAACTGTGAGATGGCCGAGCAAGTGGAAAGTTAGACAGGTAAACATTTCAAGCTGTTTCTGAGCCTCTGCGCAGTAAGAACAGACGGACAAAGACGGATCGCTTTTGTTCTCTCCCTCTAGATCAGTGACCTGCCAGCTGAGGCCACACGCCACGTGCCCAGGTCTAATTTTAGGACGAGCGTTCGAAAGCAGGCTTTGATGTTGCTGCTTCTCAGATAGGCCCACATGGTAACCTCGGTAGCTGGAAGGCAGTGCTGATCTTCCTCATCGGTGGTCTCTTATAATCAATAAAGTCTGCCGTTTGTGTCTTTAGGGGGCATATTTTTTCCTCATGGAACTCAATAAGTGAATTCTTTTCACTGACAAGTAAACGCAGCCACATACATTTTTAATTTTCTCGAACCGATATGCGAAAGGGTTGTCATCACCAGTGTAGACCAAGGTTATTTGTCTCTTCCTCTGATCAAAAGCCCTTATTTATAAACCAAAGCCCTTGACACGTTTTGGGGGCTGGATGGGAGTAACATTCTTCTAAGCCTGTTTACACTCGTTTTGCCAGAAGAAGCCATCTTGGCTGGGTTACTGGTTCTGTCTCCTCCGGCTTCGTGGGACCCTGGTGTGTCCCAGGGTGCAGCCTGGCGCATGCCCAGCGCAGGTGTCACGACCGTAGGAGCGTTCCCTGTGTGGTCTTGTCATTGGAGGTGTGAGACAGGCTGCATCGTTTCACTGTTAATCGCCCTGCTGGGAGGATTAAAATCCCAAATCCTGTGTAGGCCGCGATGTTTATTTCAGCTGAGGAGATTTAGAAGGTTGCTCTGGGTGCAGGGGACAGCTAGAGTAGAAGCATGCAAGTCACAGTGCTGTGGGAGCTCAGATTTGACGCGGAGAGTGACAGGAGATGAGGCTGTGGCATCGCGCAGGGCCAGATCACGGAAGGCATACTGAGCTAGGGTTTGGTTTTATTCCACAGCCTAGTGCTTCCCGAACGCAAATGAAATTCAGACCCCTTCTAAGAGAAGCAGTTCTGGGCCAGCAGGCGGCCTGGTGGTTAAGGTGCTGGATTCCACACGCCAGCTGCACACAGGTCAAGTCCCAGACCCAGCAGCTTGAAAATCATGCTGGGCACGTGTGCAAGCCCAAGGATCTCTAGAAGAAAATGGAGGAGAAGGGATTGCAGCGTGGTCATCTGCTCTGGGGGTGATTTCTCACTTTCCCTCCCTTTCCCTCTGCAAGTGCACTTGTCCTAGAGCAAACATAAAAAGAAAACATTCTCTCAGACTGCTGAGGTTGACTTAAGTTACTTACAATGTGACTTCAATGTGTATATTCATAAAACCACATACAAAGTTCTCATGCTTATCGCTCGGACACCGGTATAAAATGAACATTGGCCTCTGCGGTGGCTCAGCAGTGAACAAGGCTTCGTGGTGCATTTCCGGGACCTTATGGAAGGCCCTGGGGTCCTGTCCTGAGGTCTCCCTGTGCAGGCTGGGCCTGCATGTGCCTGTGCTGCTTGCTGGGGCTGGGCCACAACACCGCGACCCTGTTCCAAGCGCCCGTTGCTTTCTCTGTCTCCTCTTATGAAAGAAAGAAACTTAAAACAATAGACAAAATTAAATAAAAATAAATTTACACATTATTTATATGCAAGACTACAAAATGAACATAACACTAACTTATTGTGGTGGATGATCATTTCGCTAAAATTATAGAATTGCTGGGACCAGCAGATGCAGTAGTGCTTACGTCACTAAACTCCCACATAGTTGACCGTGGTTCGACTCCTGGACCTGGTGACTTGAAACTCACTCTGGGCGTGTGTGCATGTGTCTAAAATCCTAAGAAGAAAATGAAGGGGAAGGGACTGCACTGTGGCCATCCTCCTGGAGTGATTTCTCGTTGTCTGTCTCTCTGGTGAGCACGTGGGCCCCATAGCAAAAATCTCTTAAAAAAAAATGACATAATTGCTGTCTGTTTTTTTCCTTCTTTTTAAGGAGTTAGTTGGGCCAGCAGGTGGTGGGGTTGTTGGTGCTGGATCCCACCTGGCAGAGTGAACGGTTTGAGTCCTGGACCTGGTAGCTTGAGAAACACACTGGACACGGGTCTTAGCATTCTCCAAATCCCAAGAAGAGCAGAGAAGGGACTGCAGCATGGCCATCCTCCCTAGGGGTGATCTCTCACTTTTCCTCTCTCGGTCTCTGTCTCTCTCTGGCAAATGTACATGCCCTATGGCAAAAATCTAATAACAACAAAAAGAAAGCATAAGCTTTAGAACACTGTAACTTTTTTTTAAAAAAATCAATTTGATAGAACATTTCAATATAATAGTTAAAAAAATATGAAAAAGTAGGCCAGTAGATGGCGTGGTGGTTAAGGTGCTGGACTCCCACACAACTGACCACGGCTCAAGTCCTGGACCTGGTGGCTTGAAAACCTGGTGGCTTGCACATGTGTGCATGTGTTCTCAAAACCCCAGGAAGAGAACGGGAGAGAAGGGACTGCAGCGTGGTCGTCCCCTGGGAAGTGATCTCTCACCTTCTCATTGTCTCTCTTCAGTGAGTACACATACCCTATGGCAAAAATATTTTTTAAAAATGATTTTTTTAAAGCAATTCTTTATTTCATACTAACTACTACTTTTTTTAAAAGAATTATTTTATTTAACTTGATTTATTTATTTATTTATGTTAAATTTGATCAGAGAGGGACAGAGTGAGAGAGAGAGAGAGGAAAAGTGAGAAAGCAAGGTGCCAGGTCCAGGACTCGAACCGTGGTCTTTTGAACACTGTAACTTTTTTTTAAAAAAATCAATTTGATAGAACATTTCAATATAATAGTTAAAAAAATATGAAAAAGTAGGCCAGTAGATGGCGTGGTGGTTAAGGTGCTGGACTCCCACACAACTGACCACGGCTCAAGTCCTGGACCTGGTGGCTTGAAAACCTGGTGGCTTGCACATGTGTGCATGTGTTCTCAAAACCCCAGGAAGAGAACGGGAGAGAAGGGACTGCAGCGTGGTCGTCCCCTGGGAAGTGATCTCTCACCTTCTCATTGTCTCTCTTCAGTGAGTACACATACCCTATGGCAAAAATATTTTTTAAAAATGATTTTTTTAAAGCAATTCTTTATTTCATACTAACTACTACTTTTTTTAAAAGAATTATTTTATTTAACTTTATTTATTTATTTATTTATGTTAAATTTGATCAGAGAGGGACAGAGTGAGAGAGAGAGAGAGGAAAAGTGAGAAAGCAAGGTGCCAGGTCCAGGACTCGAACCGTGGTCAGCCATGTGGGAGTCCAGTACCCTTAATCACCACTCTACCTGCTGGTGTCACCACTACTCTTAAAAAAAAAAATCTATAAGGGTGTTATTTGTCGGAGAAAGAGAGAGAAAGTGAGAAAATACAATCCCAGGGGAGAATAGCACACTGCAATACCTGTTTTCTAATTTGCCTGAGATAATTAAAAAGGTGCATTATGGGACCAGCCGATGGCATAATGCTTACATCACTGGACTCCCACATAGTCGACCCTGTTTCGAGTCCCAGATCCGATGGCTTAAACCTCACGTCAAGCATGTATGCATGTGTGCCGAAGATCCTGAGAGGAGAATAGAAGAGAAGGGATTGCAGTGTGGCCATCCACCCTGGGGGGTGATTTCCTGCTTTCTCTGTCTTTCGGAGAGCACATTCACCCTATAGCAAAAATCTCTCTCTGAAAAAAAGAAGGTGTATTATTCTTTCACATCATATTACTTCCATCTTGTCAAGTAAATAATATTGATATATTAACTAACTTTTTTTAAAGAGAGATTTTTGCTATAAGGTGCATGTGCTCACTAGAGAGACAGAGAGACAGAGAGACAGAAAGCAAGAAATCACTCCTGGGGGGATGGCCATCCCACAATCCCTTCTCCTCCATTTTCCTCTTGGAATCTTGGGCATGCACGCACACATGCCTGGTGTGTTTTGTTTTTGTTTTTTAAGAATTACTTTATTTAAAATTTTTTTTATTTTTTACTTATTTATATTTTTGGAGAGGTTTTTGCTATAGGGCGTGTGTGCTCGCCAGACAGACAGACAGAGACAGAGAGATAGAAAGCGAGAAATCACCCCCCAGAGGGGATGGCCACGCTGCAATCCCCTCTCCTCCATTCTCCCCTTGGGATCCTGGGCGCACACACACACACGCGCCCGGCGTGAGTTTAAGCCACCGGGTCCAGGACTCAAACTGCAGTCGACTATGTGGGAGTCCAGTGACATAGCCATTATGCTAATTGCTGGTCCCAACAATTATTTTATTTAGGGAACCAGTGGTGGAATGGTTGTTAAGGTGCTGGACACTCCCACATGGCTGACCACCCGGACCTGGTGGCTTGCTTTCTCACTTTCTCTCTCTCTCTCTAGTCAAATTAAGATAAATGAATAAATAAATAAAGTTAAATAATTATATTTAAAGGGGCCAGCAGGTGGCGTGGTGGTTAAGGGCACTGGACTCCCACATGGCCTACTGAGGTTCAAGTCCTAGACCTGCCAGCTTGCTTTCTCACTTTCTCTCTCTCTCTCTCTCTCTGTGTCCCTCTCTGGTCAAATTTAAATAAATATATAAGTAAATGGATAAATAAAGTTCAGTAAAAATAATTCAAAAAATAATTATTTTTATTTAATTTTATTAAATGTCATTATTTTATTTTTAATTTTTTAGAAGTTGACATAGGGCCAGCAGGTTGCATGGTGGTTGAGGGTGCTGGGATCCCACGTGGCAGACCACGTTCAAGTCTCCACTGGCAGCTTGCTTTCTCATTTTCCATCTCTCTCTCACTCAGTCTCTATCTGGTCAAATTAAAATAAAATAAATCAAGCTAAATAAAATAGTTTTTTTTTTTCTTTTAACAGAAGAAGTTGACCAAAGAGATAGAGAGAGAAGGAAAGTGAGAAAGCAAGCTGCCAGGTCTGGGATTCGAACTATGGTCAGCCATGTGGGAGTCCAGCAACCTTAACCACCACACCACCTGTTCCCCCCCCCCCCCGTGAGTTTTAAACCACTGGGTCAGGGACTTGAACTGTGGTCAACTACATGGGAGTCCAGCAATGTAACCATTATGCCATCTCCTGGTCCCTTAACTAACATTTTAACAAAGGTCTTCTTTTGGGGCTGGCAGGTGGCGTGGTGGTTAAGGGCGCTGGACTCCCATATGGCCAATCATGTTTCAAGTCCCAGACGTAGCATTGCTTTCTCACTTTCCCTCTCTCTTTCTGTCCCTCTCTGGTCAAATTAAAATAAAGAAAGAAATGAATAAAGTTAAAATAATTCTTTTTTTTTTTTGAGAGGTTTTAGCTATAGGGCATGTGCGCTTGCCAGACAGACAGAGAGAGACATAGAGACAGAAAGCGAGAAATCACCCCCCAGGGGGGATGGTCACGCCGCAATCCCTTCTCCTCCATT